CTACTCGAAAGCTGAAGATCCACATGATCGCCATTGATGGCTGCATCGGTAAAACAACCACGAGTATAAATGAAAGTTAACAACTCATTTGTCAAATTTTTTTCTTCTCAACAGGTCATCTCAACGCCTGCCAGGGCCTGGCCGAGGTGCTCGCCGACCGAGGCCACGAGGTGTCATTTCTGGTCACCTCGCCGGAGAAGGCCGCCGCCATCGAGAAGGTCGGCTTCAAGGCGATTCGACTTGACTCCGGGGATGAAGCTTCGAAAAAGGCCGGCGAAGGCCACGGAGGTCACGGTCACGGAGGTCACGGTCATGATCACTCCCATGGTCATTCTCATGGAGGTCATGATCACTCCCACGGAGGTCACTCTCATGGAGGTCATGGAGGTCACGATCACCCCCAAGAGAAGGTCAAAGGTCATCACCATCAACACGGCGGTGATCACCCCGTATCGGAGCAGGCCAACGCCAACCTCGCCCGCGGCGCCTTCGCCCGCAAGACGCCCCTGGAGCAGCTCCAACTCCAAATGGACCACTTCTCCACGAACGCCCACCTGACCGGAAACTTCCAGACGACCATCGAAAAGACGGAAAAGATGGCCGCACTCTTCGCCGACCCCGGCACCCGACCGGACGTCCTCATCCTCGACACCTTCATCATCAGCCCGGCCGTGCTCCAATCGGGCATTCCCTGGTGCTACCTCTTCAGCGCCAATCCAATGGGCCTGTACAAGGGCGACAGGATGCCGCCCTTTGGAGCCGGCTTCCCGGTTTCGGTAAACCCCGACCCGAGCTCCTGGACCGAGTACAAAGCGCTGCAGACGGCCCTCGGCAAGAAGGCCTACGCCACCTTCCAGGCGAAGCTCAATGAGCTCTTCAACCTCGATCCGGTCCTGGACCCCTACAAAAACGGAAACTTCTTCCCTCACTCTCCCTACCTGAACATCTTCGGCTACCCGGAGGAGCTGAGCTACAACGACGTCGCCTCGATGCCCGACCGCACCATCAGCGTGGACGCCTTCGACCGCAAGGTTTCCGGCCAGGAGGGGAAGGACTTTGCACTTCCGGAAGGCTTCTGGAGCAAAGAGTCCGGCGAGAAGTTGCTCTTCTTCTCGCTGGGCTCGCAGGCTTCCGCCAATCTTGAGCTGATGCGCCGAGTTTTGAAGGTCCTCGCCAAGCATCGAGCAAAGTACATCGTTTCGAAAGGGCCGAATGGCGATCAGCTGGAACTTCCGGCCAACTGCTGGGGCGCCAATTACCTGCCCCAGCCGCTGATCCTGCCGATGGTCGACGCGGTCATAACTCACGGTGGAAAGTAAGTGTTGAACTGTTTTTGATGATCTTGAGTTTCTAATTTCGAACTTCTTTTTCCTCATCTTTTTTCTTCAGCAACTCCTTCACCGAGACCTTCGCCGCGGGCAAGCCGATGCTGGTACTTCCGGTCAGCGGAGATCACCTCGACAACGCCCAGCGCATCGAGGAGAAGGGCTATGGGCTTCGCCTGCCGCCGCACGACTTTACTGAGGAGCAGCTGACGCAGGCGGTGAAGAAGCTGCTCACCGACCAGGAGTTGATTTCGAAGGCCCGGAAGGCCGGTGAGCGGATCCGGGCGGCGCAGAGCAAGGTCCGCGCGGCGGAGCGCATCGAGTCGCTGGTGAAGTAAAAATGTGGGAAAAATTATTCTAACTTAAAAGAATGTAACAAGATAAAGTTTTAACCCTCTTCTTCTTCGTAATTAATAAAATAAAACATCATGTGGGATGTAATCAACATCAACAAAAACACAAAAATAAAACACAGGTTTTAAGATGATAATAATAATTACCCTCAGGATCCCCTTTCCCTTCTAGGCTCCTTTGGGCACCAGGTCCAGCGGGTTTGAGGGATTATTTGCGGAATTTTCCCCACCACCACCACCACCGTGGTGAAAGTCAGGCCCATGCACTTCCGGTTCGTAGTAGAGCAGCACAAAGGCGACCCAAAGATGTAGAACCAGAATGTAGACCAGGAAAGCGGCCCGGGCCGAGGGGTAGACGCGAAGAAAGTTGCCCAGACGGATGCTGAAGAAAAAGAAAAAGAAATTAAACTTCAAAAAATCTTCAACGATTTTTCAAGATCACTTACCTAAAGGCATCAATCGCCCCATAGGCTCGCTTCACCTTCCGCGTCACCTGCCCGTCATTTGGACCTTCTTCCATCAGCAGTGAAGAAGCTGAAGAGGACATCGAGTGATTATCAGCCATTCCCGAACTGCCCGTCATTCGGTGCTTAATGTAGTTGGTAAAGGTGGGCGAGTGGTAGATGCCAATGGCCACTAGTGCAAAAAAAGAAAGAAAGATAAGAGATTTTGAAAAAAAATTTTCGAAAAGGTTTCGCCTATTTTCATCTACCGTCATTATTCAACGCCGCCGTGCCCGAGCTGGCGGCCATCTCCC